GATCCGGGGCTGCCAAAGCAACCGGCAAAACTTCCACAGCAGAGGGCTGGTCCGAAGAAGAAGCGGACGGTTCGTCCGAAGCAACCTTGGCTGGCAAAGAAAAGGCCTCCGAGTCCTCAGCCAAGCGCTGTCCAGAATCGAAACGTAGAAGCCAGTGCACCTCGGACAAGTCCAAGTACAAAGCAAAATCCCTAGGGGGAAGTACCACAGGAGGCTCCTGCAAAGTGAGAAGACCTCGCTGCAAAGGAGTCTGAGCGCGCCAACCACCGGAGAAGCATGAGACCACAGCTCGCTGCAAACGCAAAGCAGGAAGACAATCATCTCTGCCGTACGAAGCGACCGAACCAAGCTTGTGATGCCCTTGAACCGCTCGATCCTGCTCGCTCTGGTTGGTCTGAGCTCCATACGAAAGGAAGGTAGCCTTGAGGCTGTGCAGGCTGAGCCCTGCGATCCACTGCTCCGATGCCAGACTCTGCCAGACCAATCTCCTCAGACCACCGGGCAGCTAAAGAGCGAAGCCGAAGCAAAGCCTGTCCATAAGACAGAGGCACAAATGAAGGTGCCAGCGCATCAAAAGAAAAGAAAAGAGCATCAGGATCACAAGCGGCAGCAAAGCACTGGCGGCACTGAGCCAGGACCTGGTTCAGGGAGAGGCAATACAAAGCAAGCCAATCGTTGCCCGCGCGGCAGCCACAAAAGCCACCCGAGGTGATGGCAAAGGGTGTTCCTCTGGGATGTGTCTTGGTCTTATAGCACCACCCACGGAGGCTTGCCAAATCGAAAAGCAAAGAGGACCAGCGAACATGTTGGGCATCACCAAAACGCAAACTCGCCCACAGGCAAAGCAAAACAGCCCCAGCGAACATGCGCTCGGCCATGTCCTCAATACCCTTAATAAAAGAAAACTCCAGCCACACAGCAAATGCAAGTGGAATCGGAGGTGCCTCGCGCTTCTCACCCGTTCGTTGAAATAAGGCCGTAGCCGCAAAAATGCCACTGTGCAAGCTAGGCAAGTCGAGCTGGAACGCCTTCTGAGACCAGCGCAAAGCTTTGAGCACATTATCGTCAAAGGTGAGGCTGCCGTCAAAGGTGCGGTGTAAAGCAAGAACAGCGTCGTGCAGCTGAAGCCGGGAGAAGGAGGGGAAAGGAACCTCCAAATCCTCCAGCATCGAGAAAACCCGAAAAAGCGACTGCAAGTAGCGCTTAACTGTGGTAGCTGAGTTCCGGCGCCAAACCAGCTCAAGAAGCTCGGTGCAATTCGCCTTGGCGAGAAGCTCCTGCAAGAAGGAACTCCAAAGGCCGCGAACCTGCAACCATTCCTTCTCCAGGGCACCCGAAGAAGTGCGAAAAGAATGCTCGGGCAAAGCGGGAGCCGAGGCTGCCGCCACAAAGGTGCTCTTGCCACCGGTCACCGCAAAGGACCGGATCGCATAAGATGCTGCCTGTTTGGTCGGAAGGACAGGCACAGCCCCACACCCGGCAACGAGGGACCCCGAGGGGAAAGAAGCAGCCGGAGGCAAAGCAACTTCCAAGCGATGTGCAGGCCCTTTGTCATATTTGGAAGCTGGGGCAAAGGAAGGCCGGGGCAAAGGCGAAGACGATGATGTCGAACAAGGCTCCTTCGGGGCAGAAAGCACGGGTCGAGGCAAAGCACCAGAGGCATCACGAAGAACCGGGCGCTCAAAACAAGACCTGCTGCCCTCAGGAAGCCGAGCAATCACGTCCAAGGGCCCCGGCAAAGGAACCGAATGAGCAGCTTCAGGCCGCAGGTCTGCAAAGGAAAGTTCGCGAGCAACATCGTTCGAGGCCGGGGCCACCACAGACCACGACCGCAAAGAAGCCGGTGATTCCTGAGCAGAAGCAGAAGGGGCACTGGCCAACCCCGACTCCTGAGAAGCAGCAGCGGCTAAAGGAAGCGTCTTCCGAAAACGCTTCACGACCACTGGCACCGGCTCCTCAATAGGCTGCAGTTCCTCAAAGGAAAAATGCTCCGGAGAGTCGGAAAAAGCCATACCTAATCCAGGGTATGCAAAGAATGCTCTAGCAAAGGATACTCTGGATCCGTAGGTTCGGCCGAACCCGCCAACAAATCGAAGCGACGATCAAGATGACAAAGCTGGGCCCAAAGGTCTGCCCGCTGATAGCAAAGAATATCGAGACGACGGTGCAAAGCAGATAAGGCTTCCACAACCTCCTGCTCCACTCGCTCGGAAAAGGAACGCTCAAAAGCCTGCTGTCTGGCAGAGCAAGCAGACTGTAAGGCACCGACCAAAGAGGCAAGGGCAGTGAGCCCCTCGCCCAAAGAAGTAACACTGTAACACGATCCTCCAGGCTGTGGGCACGGCCTAAAAGAAAATCAGTGGCCACGGCGTGCCGCTCGAGCTGCCCCTCAGGCAAAGAGGATAATCCTGAAAACCGCTCGTCCAGAGAAGCAAGGCGAGTCTCCAATACTCGAAACCTGTTGTGCAAAAGCTCAATAGCCAGAGTATTTCGCTCAAGCTGATCCGCAGGCACAACAGAGGCCTCTGAAACCATCAAGGGATCCACGGAGAAGCCTAGTTTCAAAGCTCGTGTGTTGCATGTGCGTGCTGCCGTGAAAAGCATGCTACCTAGCCGCAAAGCTGATCAATGCAAAGCAAAAGCATGAAAAGCTAAAGCGTGAAAATTGAAATGCAAGCTGTTGAAGCATGCATGCATGCGAAGCTGCGGCTTGGCTGTTGTTCGAGCCATGCACGGGGACATGCCAGTTGAAGCAAAGTAAAACAAACCTGAGTGAACACAGGAAGCGTTCTACTTTGTTACAACAGCCAAGCCTCTACACTAGAAGCAAGCAAGCTAAGCAAAGCTAGGCTACACTAGCACTGCAGAGCGAGAGGTTGTTTTG